TGTAAATCAATAAAAAAAAATTGTACCAAAGTGCCTGAGGGGCATAGGTCATAGGTCGGATTACTGTATGGTGAGCTAAAAATGTAATATTTATATTGTTTCAGAGCAGTTGTTACGTTTGTAGGACGTGTTTTCTAACAAACAAATGACATATCCATGGGAACCAACTGTGCTCCTCTTTTTACCGACTTGTTCCTTCTTTCATATCAGGCAGACTTCATACATGAGTTTCTTAGAAAGAATGAAAAGAAGCTAGCATTATCCTTTAACTTCCTGTTCCGCTATAATAGATGATGGCCTCTCACTTAATAATTCAAAGTTTGGTGACTATGTTGAACACATCTATCCTATCGAACTTGAAATAAAGGATACAACAGATACAGTTTAAAATTCTGCCTCATATCTTGACTTACATCTATGAATTGACAATGATGGTCGGTAAAAAACAAAACTTTTCGACAAAAGAGCTTCCCAATTGTAAACCGTTTCCATTTCTATGTAGCAACATTCCAGAAGCACTTGCATTTGGAGTTTATATCTCCCAGTTGATACGATATTCCAGAGCTGGTTTCCCTATCATGATTTCCTTTATAGAGCTGGTTGCTGCTTACAAGGACGCTATTAAACAAAGGAATCCAATTGGAAAAGTTGAAGTTATCCCTTTTAATATTTTACGGATTCCAGCACGAGTCTGTCTACCGTTATGAAATACCTGTTTCACAGTTGACAGGGGAAATGTTCCAATTATTTTAACCATAATCTGGTCGTCTTTTCTTTATATATGAAATCACCGAGTTTGTACTTACATGAGCAACAAGATAGGTGCCACATGTGGAGCAGGATCTGCCTACCCTTCCGGAACTCCTGAGATCACCCACGGTTTGTGATGGGGTTATGTTGCTCAGTCTTTAGTTTCCTAGTTCGTATTTTGCCATGTCGTTATCAGTTGACTAATATTTTAAATACCCACGCATTGGTATCTTCTGCCTCTCCTTCGCTGAAAGGAAACATTAACTGAAATTGGTTTCATGCATTATTAATTTGTTTTCTTTTATAAAAGGCATACCTAACTGAATATTTAATAAACTAGTTCATTTTTAAATGAAACAAATCTAAATTATCTCTCTTTGTACACAAACAGGTCTAGTCTAGGTTTTCCCGGTTACATGGAGAAATTAAAAACTTCAGACGTGTACAGAAGTAGACTACTAGTCACTGACAGGACGATAACTGGTTGTCATTTCACGGAAAAAGGTATGTGAAAAGTATGTTCTAAGTGAGAAATACCGACCGTCGGCAGGAAAACTGTCAATCTAAGTTAATGAGATCGGAGTCTAACTGTCCTGCCACGTGCGGTGTTCGAACTCACAACCTCAATGTTGACAGGCAAGTGATACAGTAGACTTGCGTTTCTATATTGCTTGCATTAACTGATATGATGGAAATATTTCAGACTCACATTGGACTTATTAGTAACATTTAATTTATCAACGATTAGCTTGGTTTAATCTTTTTTTCACCCTTTTGACTGCAAGTCTTGGACCTATTGACAGTTGGATTCATTATATATATTACTGATTTTTCAAATTCACGGTTGATCATGTCGCAAATCTTCTCTTTCTATTATTGTTCTATAGTTTCTGATGAATGAGAGTATTTGGATATGCATGTTTAACCTGTGGCGACTTCTGGATTTATATGTACAAAGCTTCAGAGATACAACTGAGATTACTATAACACAGTTGTAATAACCTCGAGTATCTTATTTGGTTTACATTAATCATCTTTAGTATTTCAAATTTCCTTTGTTTAAACCAGTCAAAAACTTCAGTTAAAAAATTAATTATTTGCCTACCTATACTGATCGTATTTTTTTAGCATGTTAGCGGTAACGCATGTATCATTTTCAAGGCCTTTCTTTATTATACAATTTCGAAAATAAAAGTATAGAACATAAAAAATAAGAAGATGTGGTGTGATTGTCAATGAGACAACTCTCCACCAGATACCAAATGACATGGAAGTAAACAACTATAGTCACCGAACGGCCGTTAACAACGAACATAACCAACATCGCATAGTAAGCTATGAAATGCCCCGAAATGACTAATGTAAAACAATTCAAACGAGAAAACAACTGGCCTTATTTATGTACAAAACAAAAAAAAGAAGAAAAAAAAGATATTCAGCAACAAACGACAACTACTGAATTACAGGCTACTGACTTGGGATAGGTAGATACAGAATGTGACGGGGTTAAACATGTTTGCTGGCGCCAAACCCTGTCCCTCAGCTGGAACATTGTGTAACAATACAACATAAGAACAAACTATAAATATTATTTGAAAAGGACTCATCAGATCGATACAAAGCACATAAAAACCCTAACAAAAACACAAAAGACACGAAGACCAGATCTGAGAATACTCGCAGTTACTGAAGCTAGTTCAAAGCTAATAATAACTAATAGAAAAATCATGTGCCTAAAACTAACTTATCAATCAGTACACATCCAGGATCCAATGGATTAAGTGTAAAGACGTCATTAATAGTAAGAGAAAAACATGACCTTGTGCAATGCCAAAATACAGGTATCTATTTAGTATGACTATAAATTTTCACTTCTGTACTCGTACTGTGAAAATTTATTCATTTTGTAAAAAATTTGTACCCCTAACAACAAAATTTTTATATTTAAATTTACCTGTGTACGTTATTTTATTTAACGCCATTTCGTCCTAGGTTAGAGTTGTCTTTTTAACATTGTTTTACACCTTTTTTTTTCTCTTAATATTGTATTTATATTGTGCCATAGATCAACTTTATTCGTTCAGTATATGTTAACTTGTTTTTGTTTATATGTCTTTTTGATCGAGTTAAGCCATTTTAATTGAAATTTAAGTCTTGTATGACAGTCGCATAAAATTCCAATATATTGACAATAATATGTGAACAATATAAACAGACATAATAGGTAAAAATGTCAATAATAGGGGTAAAGCAGTCAACACTGTGTTATAATCTCAATCACTATAAAAACAAATTTGTCAACAAAGAAAAACAAAAAAAATGGCATATAGACAAAGCACATAAGCAAAAATGAAAGACAGGAATATAAAAACTGACCATAGTAAAATAAAACAATGGCGGGATGTATACGTACCGAGCCACGCCAAAAGGATATTACCAAAAATGGACTAGACTTTTGCTAGATTTTTATCAAATTCTTATCAAAGGTATATAACAGCAATGTCTCGGACAATTTCGAAAATAAGTGACGATCAAATATTTTTAATGACTTTCTCTTGGAAATATTAAATATATCGGAAATTGCTCTCAAGTTTTCAACTCTTTATTAAAATTAAGATAATTTTAAAAAGTTTGAAAGAACAAAAAAATGCTGTCCTTGGACAGAACAGATAAAATATATGCAACGCGGGGGGCATCGGAACTCTGTTCTTTTATTCTCATTTGTTAAAGGCCGTACGGTTGCCTAGAATTGCTTACATCCACTTCATTTGAACTTTGTGGATAGTTGTCTCATAGAAAAGAATAGAATAGAATAGAAAATTTTATTTTAAGTCGGGTTTACATGAAACATTACAAACATAAGCACTGTAGAGCATTTTTGTCGACATTAATAACAATAACAACACATACAATATTAAGACATATAAAACATACACATTAGACATACAAAGTAATACAGCTTTATTGCATAAGCATATATAAAAGCTTAGCACAAACAAGCAAAGCACTAAACTAGATTATAAGCACATGCAAAGCAGACGAAATAAATAAAGCAAAACTAGTTCTACAATCTGCATGGAAAACTCAACATAAAAATCAAAACATTAAGATCTGCAGGAGCCACATCTCCATGAGTTGCCATTCCAGTTGTTGATCATATCTTTAAACTGGTTCAGGTTCGACTGCGCATGAATGAAGACCAAATTGTGTTGTTCTCACTTGTGGTACTTCAACAGTTTGTTGCCGCTTTAGGCTAAAAGAGTAAGTTGCATTTTTAAAATTAACAAGCATTCTGAGAGTATTGCATGGCAATACATAGTCCCCTACCGGTTAAAAATTAATTGTACTGGAACAAAATGCTAACTTGATCTATAACTTGTCATGGTGTAAACTATATAACAAATATCAAGTCAATATCTTCAAGCATGACGAAAAAAGTGCGGATAACTGATAATTTAAGTGAATTTTCTAAGTCCAAGGACCATAATCCTGCAAAAAATCATCAAACCGAAACAAAATTCAAACTTGGTCTGTAATTTGTCATGATGAAACTATATACCAATTATCAAATCAATATCTTCAAGCATGACGAAAAAAAGTGCGGAAAACTGAATATTTGAGTGAATTTTCCAAGTCCAAGGACCATAACTCTGCACAAAATTATCAGACCGGAACAAAATTCGAACTTGATCTGTAACTTGTCATGATAAAACAATATACCAAATATCAAATCAATATCTTCGAGCATGAAGATAAAAAGTGTGGAAAACTGATTTGCCGGACTGACAGAAGGACAGACAGACGGACGGAGTGCAAACCTAAAGTCCCCTTCGACTTCGTCGGTAGGGGACTAATAATACCATGGAGATACACAGGTGACTCTTTGTGTAATATTTTAAATGTTTCTATGGCCATCATTTGTAGAGGTCTTATTTTTAAAGAAGGTAAACCAGATTTTAACAAAAGAGTTTTGAACAGTCACTACTAACCGGATAGATGAACCTCAAGCGGCACGTTCTTGTATTTTTTCCATTTTTTTTTAGTGTTACCCATCTCCTTGTGTACTAGCACTCCCTTGGTGTCGGGTGGGGATTTCCTTGTAAATATTATTTTAAAAACGTAAATGACACCTCTTCAATAATTCCATTACGGAGTGTACACGGATTCCACTGTACCTTCACAGCTCTCGAAGGGTGCTCCGAATAACGGAGGAATCTGCCAGTAGATATATATCCTGCTGTTGGTTTCTTTCTCCATACCTTGATGCGTCCGTTCTTGCTAATCTTCATGTACTTGTTTTTGATGTTTTAAAGTAAACTATGACATTATGCTGATGATCAGGGTGGGAATCTCCACAGGTATCATCAGTTGTAATCGAATCAAATAGACGGTTATCAACCAATAATAAATTTTGGTTATAATATGGGTGCATACAGATTAAAATAATTTTTTTTTTATCTTTTTATTGTCAAATCATATATTAATTGTACATAACGGTGGTGGTACAGAAGTCATTTTTATTGATATATTACTATGTATTCATAATCTGATTAGACATTCATTGCGTATTATTATATTGTGTGGTGAAGGATACTATATATATTCAACTCCATACACCCTATCGCTATTCCCGCTTGACCCGAGAATCTATCCCGCTCGACCTTTTGACGTCATACAACAATCACTTTTCCATTGTGGCATCAGACATTTTCTATTATGACGTCAAAATTTTACGGGAACTTGTGTAATGTCCAGTAATGGCGGACAAATAGCGATAAGGTGTATTGGAGGTGTGCCTACATTGGCAGAATTTATCTCGATACAGATACAGATGCTACGCAGCAGCCTTTTTAGCTCACCGGGGGCCCGAAGGGCCCCATGTGAGCTTATGCCATCACTTGGCGTCCGTCGTCGTAAACTATTTCAAAAATCTTCTTCTCTGAAACTACTAGGCCAAATACCTTCAAACTTTAACTAAATGTTCCTTAGGGTATCTAGTTTATAAATTGTATCCGAAATTTTGATCCATCGGCAAACATGGCCGCCATGGCTAAAAATAGAACATAGGGGTCAAATGCAGTTTTTGGCTTATATCTCAAAAACTAAAGCTTTTAGAGCAAATCTGACGCAGGGTAAAATTGTTCAATTGGTCAAGATCTATCAGTTCTGAAATTTTCAGACGAATCGAACAACCCATTGTTGGGTTGCTGCCACCGAATTGGTAGTTTTAACAAAACTTTGCAGTTTTTTGTTATTATTTTGAATATTATTATAGATATATATAAACTGTAAGCAGCAATAATGTTCAGCAAAGTAAGATCTACAAAAAAGTTAACATGACCATAATTGTCAATTGACCCCTTAAGGAGTTATTGCCCTTTAAGGACAATTTTACACAATTTGTTCATCAAGTTTGCTAACATTTAAAAATCTTCTCCTCTGAAACTACTAGGCCAATTACCTCCAAACTTTAAATAAATGTTCCTTAGGGTATCTTGTTTATAAATTGTATCCGAAGTTTGTATCCATCGACAAACATGGCTGCCATGGCTAAAAATAGAACATAAGGGTCAAATGCAGTTTTTGGCTTATATCTCAAAAACTAGAGCAAATGTGACATGGGGTAAAATTGTTTAATTGGTCAAGATCTATCGGCCCTGAAATTATCAGACGAATCGAACAACCCATTGTTGGGTTGCTGCTACTGAATTGGTAGTTTTAACAAAATTTTGCAGTTTTTTGTTATTATTTTGAATATTATTATAGATATATATAAACTGTAAGCAGCAATAAGTTCAGCAAAGTAAGAGCTACAAAAAAGTTAATCAGACCAAAATTGTCAATTGACCCCTTAAGGAGTTATTGCCCTTTAAAGACAATTTTACACAATTTGTTCATCAAGTTTGCTAACATTTAAAAATCTTCTCCTCTGAAATACAGGTGAGCGATTCAGGCTCTTGAGAGCCTCTTGTTTGAAGTAGGATTCAACTACAGCGAAACGTTAACATATGTCTCCTCTAACTTTTCAATTAAATGTTCCATTGTAAATATATGCACAACAAAATGTCTGCTATTGAATATTCTCATACCATCAGACAGTAGAACCCGTAAAAATCATAGTTTCACTGTCAGACACATTTCAACCAAACAGGATACATATAAATTTTCATTTTATCCTTAAACCATAACTCAATGGAATTTATTACAAATTCATATAGTCATTGACAGTAACTGCCACAACAGTTTACACCAGCTATTCTCCACAAATTCATTTAATTTATTATAAGCCCATGTACATAGTTTTAGATTTCACAATTTAAAAAATTTATGCACTCCAAATTCATTTTCAATTATTTTTGTATTCTTGTAAATATATATATAGGCCATGCTGCACAAAACTAAACCATCTTCAGATCATTGAAGGGCTACTGAAAGCCTTAAGTAAATTAAAGTTTATAAAATTTATTAAGAGATTGGAATCAGATAAGCCATATTGTTTTTGCCTATTTTCAGATGGATCAGGTGATTGGTCTGGTGACTGTAGTAGAAAATGGAGTAGATGTAAGACGACAACCATTGTTCCATAATCAGAAAGAGTATTCAGTTGGAGGGTTTGTTATTTTTACTAGAGTATTTATTTTGAGTTAGAGAAGTGTTCTAGTGTCCTGGTGTGCTGTCGTGGACTCATGGGAGGTGTCCATTGTTTTTCTGTGGTTTACATGTTGTAATGTACTATTATATTTTTTATTTATGGGTTTCTTTGTCCTTAGTGTTTTTGCGTTTATTTGTACTGTATTCCTGTCACGTAATGTTGTCATTTTAGCGGTATTTTTAACATTGCCATATAAGCGGGAGATTTGGCTAGCCATAAAACCTGGTTCAACCCAAAAATTTTTCTTTAAATGTCCTGTACCAAGTCAGGAATATGGCAGTGGTTATCAAATAGTCTGTTTCTATGTATGTTTGTTTTTGTTGCAGTTCAGTGTTTCTGTTGTTCCGTTGTTTTCCTCTTATAGTTGTTGTGGTTCCCTGTGACCCGGATTTGTTTTCGCTTAATCGATTTATGACTATTGAAACAACGGTATACTACTGTTGCCTTTATCTATATACAAATAATGAGATGTGGTATGATTGCCAATGAGACAACTATCCACCAGAGACCAAATAACTTAGATCAACGTACAGCCTACAATAATGAGAAAAAAAACCTTATCGTTAAGTCTTAAGAGGCCCTGACAAGGCTGACATGCAAGTTTTTAAGTCACAAAGGAATAAGCAATTTAAAAAATGTTACTATTAAGTAAAAGTTAGAAATTTCATAGTGCTTGCAATAAAAGTATAAAAAAGGAAATGTACTTTTACTGTTCTGTTAATATATTTTCATACCAGTTTCTTATTTTCCTGTAATAAGAATGGTTCTTCACAAATTTGATCATTGCACTGTCTTATCATGCTTATTGAAATGATATTTCAAGATTATTTTGTATTAAGTTTTCTTTATCAAGGCCACAGATAAAATTCTATTCATGGATCTAAATTCTAAAATAAGATATTCAGAACAATGTTAAAATTTTGTTATTCATCCTTCCTTAGTTAACAATCATCAACTTAAAAGGTCATTTCAAATTATATAAACTATAAATTTGCACAAAATTGGACCACCATATTATATGAAACTCAGAAAATATCACTGCAATGTTTAAAATTAATGATTCCTTTCCATCCTTGTATGTGTGTGACCCAGCATAAGGTGTATTAAGATACTAGTTTAAAATGTCCTTGACAACTGTGACTAAACTGAAATAGGAGTATGGTAGGAAAGTTAATTATGAGAAACCATAAACTGAGGGTTCTTGCTATAATTTATTAAAAACTGTTAAAAATGGGACAAAATGTGTAACAATGTAGGATCCTTAGTTAAAAAAAAGTTCTACCTACAACTGTTAAGAGAAATACAAGCTGCACCATACAAGTCTCTACAGCATGAACTGATAGGGGAAATACATCTTACACTGTACAAGTCTCTGCAACACAAGCTGGAAGAAAAATTCATCTAACACTGTAAAAGTCTTTACAGCATAAGTTATGAAGGAAACACATCTTATACTGTACAAGTTGATACAACATGAACTGGTAAGGGTAATACATCTAACAATGAACAAGTTGATACAACGCAAACTGATAAGAGAAATACATCTAACACTGTACAAGTCTTTACAGCATGAACTATGAAGGGAAATACATCTTACAATGAACAAGCTGATAAAACGCAAACTGATAAGAGAAATATATCTAACACTGTACAAGTCTTTACAGCATGAACTATGAAGGGAAATACATCTTACACTGTACAAGTTGATACAACATAAACTGGTAAGGGAAATACATCTAACAACATACAAGTCTCTGCAACAAAAACTGATAGGGGAAATACATCTTACACTGTACAAGTCTCTGCAACACAAGCTGGAAGAAAAATACATCTAACACTGTACAAGTCTTTACAGCATGAACTATAAAGGGGCATACACCTTACACTGTACAAGTAGATACAACCTGAACTGGTGAGGGAAATATAACTAACACTGTACAAGTCTCTACAGCATGCAATGGTAAGGGAAATACATCCTACACTATACAAGTCTACAGCTTAAACTTGAAAGGGGAATACTAGCAATGTTCAAGCCTTTACTTCAACTGGTGAGGGAAAATATTTAACACTGTTTAATTCTGTACAACATGAACTGGTAAGGGAAATACATCTTACACTGTTTAAGTCTCTATGACATGCACTCGTAAGGGAAATACATGTAACATCTAACAATGTACATGTCTCTACAGCGTAAACTGGTATTGGAAATACATCTAACACTGTACAAGTCTAATACTCTATACAACATGAAAGTTATGTTTAGTTTAGATATCAAGCTTTTTGACTTACATCAAAGAAGTAAAAAACACATGACTTGGGCGTGCTGTTTACGGTGTAGGCAGTGTCAACCATGTATTATTTTGTGATAAGGTCAAGTTTATGGGGAACTACTAGTGGTAGATCAATGATATTTGGTATGCAGTTGTATTAGCATTGGCACATCTTATTTCCATGGAAATTATTTGGGCCTTCCCCCTCAGTCAAGGTCTATTGACTTTAAAACTTTTGCCTAGTTTACATGTATTAGTTTGTGATTACGTCATTTTAAGGGGAACCATTTATAGTGGTAGGTCAATGATATTTGGTATGCAGTTGTATAAACATTGACATATCTCATTTCCATGGAGATTATTTTGCCATGCCCCCTCAGTCATGGTTTATTGACTGTGAAACTTTTGCTTAGTTTACATGTATTAGTTTGTGATTAGGTCATTTTAGGGGGAACTATTAGTGGTAAGTCAATGATATTTGGTATGCAGATGTATTAGCATTGGTTAATCTAGTTTCTATGGAGATCATTTGGCTCCCTCCCTCCGTCATGGTTCATTGACTTTATATGTTTTGCATTGTGTACATGTTAAAGTTTGTGATTAGATTAGTTTAAGATAAAAGACTAATAAATGTCAATGATATTTGGTATGCAGTTGTAAGTCTCATTTCCAGGGAGATTACATGGCCCCACCCCCTCATCATGGTTCATTGACTTTGAAACTTTTACATAGTTTACAAGTTAAAGATTGTGTTAAGTTAGTTTAAAGGGAACCACTTATTTGGTATGCAGTTTTATAAGCATTAGCATTTCACATTTCCATGGAGGTTATTTAGCCATGCACCTTCAGTCATGGTTCATTGTCTTTGAATGATTTGCATAGTTTACATGTTTAAAAATTGCCATTTTAATTTCAACATTTGCATTATACCATCAAAATTACAAAAAGCGAGACATATCTCGGTGTCAACAGTTTATGAATATTTACAGATGTAATGATTGTTATATAAAGATAGAACATGCTGTTCAGAATGAATTGGCCAGAATATGCGTAGACGAAAAAGATCATGTGAGTAACTATTGTGAATAATCAGACTGTCCATTGTTATTTTTTTGACAGCAACTTTTGTGGTTATATCAGTAATGTTGTTGTTTTGTCTTTAAAAGACACTCATTAGTTATCCTATATTTAGGATCAATCCAAGAAATAAATTATATATATATGGATGATGTTAATGATCAGACCTTATAAAACCAGTTATCCCTCGATCTAAACCTGATTTTGGTGCTCAGTGGTCAGGTTATATTTTATGATAAGATCTGTTTCTTAGTAACTATACATGATGGGTCAGCAATATTTAGTTTGTGTCTTGTCTGAAGTAAATCATATGGCCTTGACCTAAGTTTCATGCCCTAGTGTTCATTCATGACAATTTTTTTTATGCCCCTGCCGTTGCCAAGGGGGCATTAAGTATTACACTTGTCCGTCTGTACGTCTGTCCGTATGTTGGTACGTACATACGTACATTCCAAAGTTAGTTTCCGTTCTCTAACTTTAATTTGCCTCTACCAAATGTTCTGAAACTTATACACAATGCTAATTACCACAAAACACAGATCAAGTTTGAATTTTGGTGGCGTCACTTTAACAGTTCCAGAGTTATGCCCGTTTACAAATGAAAAAATTGCTAAATTTATTTCCATTCTCCAACTTAAATTTACCTGGACCAAATGTTATGAAACTTATACAAAATGCTTATTACCACAAAATACAGATCAAGTTTGAATTTTGGTGTGGTCACTTTTACTCTTCTAGAGTTATGTCCCTTTACAAATGGAAAAATTGCTGATTTTTTAGTTTCCATTCTCTAACTTAAGTTTGCCTCAACCAAATGTTATTAAACTTATATACAATACTTATTACCACAAAACTCAGATCAAGTACAAATTTGGGTACATCACTTTTACCGTTCTTCAGTTATGTCCCTTTATAAATGTATATGATATGCAAGCGGGGGCATAATTCTGTGTCCTATGGACACATTCCCCATTTATTTTAGTTATTGTATATTGGAGAATTAATGAACGATAGATTGAAAATATTTTGCATATGATTTCATAGCATATACTTGTACATGAAAATGTGCACTCAGTGGATTTTATTATACCCCCGCTTTAAAAAGGGGGGGGGATACTGTTTTATCTCTGTCTGTCCTTCCGTCAGTCCGTCAGTCCATCCGTCCGTCAGTCCATCAGTCCGTCCCATGAATATTTTCGTCACATTTTTCTCAGGAACTACTTGACAAGGATTTCTGTAATTTGGTTTCAGGGTTAATATAAGTAAGTTACACCATGTGATGCGTTTTCAGATTCATCACTCAACAACTTCCTGTTTACCGAAATATTTCGGCGGGGGTATCATCAGTGAGCAGTAGCTCACAGTTTTACTTGTTTAATCGGTATCAGATTTAATTTCAGCTTGAGAGTTTGTTATAGAAAAAAAACGATATTGCAGCAGAAGTGACATTTAAGTAATTGACATTTAAGTTATAGTTTATTACATTAGTTGCAATGAATTATTATGATTTCCTAGTGAAATAAAAACCAATAATTTCACCTGTGACATTACATCAACACAATGGAGAAAGTTTAGAAAAAGTTATATAGTAGTTCCTGTCATTTTCTACTTTATTTCCATTAAATAAGTCAATAAAAAATTGTCAGTGTAATAAAAAGAATATAACTAAAATAGTAAAAAAATATTCATCTCTTGACCAAACAACACTGATAATTATCTCATTTGTTACGTCCATCTTGAATTAATGTGTTGTTTGGTCACTTGTTGAATATTTTTTGATATTTGAATTCTTGGATTAAGTGTCAACTCTTTGTTTTTTTCCAGATTTCTATCATTCCATTGTCACCTTCCCATCAACTGGCAGTGAATTTTGAGGCTGTTGGTGGTCTTGTTACTTTAAACGACAATGATATCTTTACTGTTGCTGGTGGAATCTTCAGATTGAACACTAAAGCTGGAATGGTATGGTTGTGATTGGCTATTGTAGAATGTAGATAAAATTCTGTTAAAGAATTTGTTCATATTGACCGAGGTAGTTTAAAGTAATTTTACAGAACTTTGTGGTAAAATTTTACAATTTCAGAACTTTACCTCATGTGGTCCAAAGGGCAGGTTAGACATAAGGTTTGAAAAAGAATTATCAAACAGTTTTACATATGAAATATAAATGAAAATATTTATCTATATAGGTTGATAATTCCAAGTGGCTATGAAGATGGAACTTTGATTAGTTGATGATGTACCAGGCTAGAATAATATACCTTCCATTACTTAAAATATAATATCTCGAAAAGCTACCAAATCTTGTTGAAAAGATACATTAATGATCTTTGATAATTATGGTGTATGACCTGAATCTGTTGTAAACATAACCATCAACTTTGTAAAAAAAAGATTTTAACATGCAAGCTGGTAACCGGTACCAGGTATTTTTAAGACTGCCTATAAATATTAAATGTCTTTAGCACACATGGTCACATTGTGAGAATTGTCATCGTATGGTGTCTGTCATTTTAATTTTGTTCAAATTTTCTCCTATTTAATAAGGCTAATAAGGCTAAATCTCCCTTAGGGTGTCTCTTATAATTTGTGGTTTTCGTTGCTTCTGACTAACTAACATGGCGGCCATGGCTATAAAATGGAGCATGCGTCATTGTCATCTCAAAAACTGTAATAGATAGAATGTTGAGTTGTACCTTCCAAAATGTTTTGGAGTTACTTCCCTTAAAGTAGATTTTTTACCCATTTTTGGTCTTTTTGCAATTGTCTTTAAACTATAATAAATAGAGAGAAACTTTCTAGGCAAAATAATTAGCAAACCAAAATCTACAAGCAAGTGAACATGACAAAGTCAACAGTGTCAATTATAGAAGTTATTTAGGATTTTTGTGTTTTGGGTTATTTTCTTGAGGACAACAAAATAAACAAAAGGTAGAAGCTGCAACAGCTAAATGTAACAAGATAAGATCTACTTTACCTCTTTTATGAGTTATACATCCATGAAATGACAGTAAAATCAGTAAAATGGCAACATTCTGCAAAATCTTGCAAAATCTTGACAATTTGACTGGTACCTACTTAGAAATAATATAGAGCACAACCAAAAAGATATATAAACAGCAACTGTATTTTGTTTTTATCTATTCATTGATACTAAAGATTTTGGGCACAGCATATGCTCTATTTAAATGTAGCCAAAGTGCTTTTGCTCAAAATTTGTCAAATCTCACTTTAAGACGTCACAGTCAAACTAGTACTGTAATTGCGTCACAAGGCTTGATATAGTAACATTTTCTGGAGAATATTTCTTCTGATGTTGTAGCAAGTAAGCAATTTTTACATCTGCTGTGCAGCCACTTCCTGTTTGCCAAAGTTTGAAATTTTACAACACTCATTGTACAAGAAAAACTTTGAAAGAACTTTTCTTGGCCTCCATGAAAGGGGATGATTTTGTCTTTTGTCTCCAACTTTATAATGTTGAGTTGTAGCTGGTAATAAAATTTTTCTTCTACCGTGTAGCCACTCCCTTTTTGCTGATGGTTTGAAATTTTACAATGCTGATGGTACAAGGAAAAATTTCTTTCAATTTTTTTTTGGCTTCTATGGAAGGGAATGATTTTATAAGAAGTTTCCAGCTTGATAATGATGTGTCGGAGCTGTAAGCAATTTTAACATTTGCAGTGCAGTCGCTTCCTGTTAGCTGACAGTTTGAAATTTTTCAACACTCTTTGTACAAGAAAAATTTCGTAGAACTTTTCCTGCCTTTTTATGGAATTAAAAAATTTTATTTATGGCTCCAGCTTGTAGCAACTTTTACATCTGCAGTGCAGCCAAATCAATTTTTGCTGATAGTTTGAAATTTTACAACACTCATTGTACAAGGAAAAAAAATTTTGCCTTCAAAGAAAGGGAATGATTGGTTATTCTTCAGTAAACATGTAACCTCAATCAATTTGTATGTAGCAATGCAGGTCCAGACCTGGTATTGGTCTTGTTTTTATCATAAATTGTGAAAATAAGTACACTGTAAAAGTAACGAATACAGTATTAATATATTTACAAGGATATTCTAATTTGCTGTTACCAATGTTAATAAATAGATATAAGTAGATGTGGTATGAGTGCCAATGAGACAACTCTCCATCCAAGTCACAATTTGTAAAAGAAACTATTATAGGTCAAAATACAGCCTTCAACACAGAGCCTTGGCTCACACGGAACAGCAAGCTATAAAGGGCACCAAAAATTACTAGTGTAAAACCATTCAAACAGGAAAACCAACGGTCTAATCTATATAAAAAACGATGTTTATGGAAGATAATTTTCTTTTGTGATTTACAAAACCACTTTGTTCCACTACTTTGATTAAGATCAAATTTCAATATTTGAATATTGCCTTAAATTGTCACACTCTTTGAAAACATGCAAGTCACTGCTGTTTCTTCTCTTAGGCAATTACCTTAAATGAAATTTATTTATAGATCTATATTTGAAAATAATTCAGATGTGACAAAATTTAATTGGAAGTTGTCTTTTTTCTAGGCCAGTGGAAATCCATCTGAGGAAGCATACATTTCACTGAAAAATGTTATTAAAAACATATTCATTAAAAAGTATAAGTTGAAGGATGCACTGGTTTGTTTTAAAGGATGGTTCCAAAAATGTCAGGATGACCACAGAGATAAACTGATGAAATTAACATTTGAAGAAAACTCCTTACTGACCTTGGCATGTACAGAAGGTGACCTTGAACTTGTTACATATCTTATAGATGATTGTAACTGGGATGTTAATTATTGTGAAGGTATCAAGCATCCATCTTTACACTCAGCCATTTTAAATGGACATGTGGATATTATTCCATATTTACTTGCATTTGGTGCAGATTCTAATCTAATCGATTCCATGGGTTACAAACCACTGAATTATGCCTACAGATGTTTAGAAGCTAGAGCATTTGAAGTAACAAAAATGTTAGTGTTAGATGGTGCAGACATAAATTGTACCACTGTTGCTGGTAAAGGTCAAAAACTTGAATGGGGACCATTCAGTGATAATAGAAAGATTAAATTCAAAGATGAAGAAGTTATTGAGATAGTTGGGGATCCGTCCAACATATACATTGGACAAGATGAACATCCATTGATCTTCTGTGCATTGTTTGATCAGTTTGATATATTCAGTTATTTTATTGAACGGTCTGGAATTCCCAACAACATCTTATGTAATGCACTTGATGTATATGGTGCAACATGTGCATTGGAGTTTAAGTTTGAAGAATCATTAAGTTTCTTGAAAGCAGCCATGGAGCTGAGATATGGAGATCCTGCTCACAAAGTGCCAAAAGAAAATGTTAAGAATCCAAGACCAGTCTATAATAATAGGAATGAGATGACCTGCCTTGATGATTTCAACAATTTAGCTAATAATCCAAGCTCCATTCCAATGATGACACAAGCTGTTTTGATATATGAAAGGATTCTACCTTTATATACAGAACAATATTTTGATGGATTATTAAATCTTACAAACCAATGTGTTTCAGAGGGCCATTATAAAATGGCAATGGGTCTCCATATTGAATTACAGAAAGCATACTGTAATGCAGCTAAGGAAAGGATATGTGTTGATAAATATGACAACTGTGGAACTAGTATTGCAAACATGCTGACACTACTAAAAAATTCCCAGTGGATACCATCATTTGAAGATAAAATGTTGGTTTGTGAGCAGTCATACCAAACCCTCTTGTCAAACACCCAATTTAATGATTTGTACTATCCTTTCACAGATAATATTATCTTTGCATGTTGCTTTGCATCTATGCATTATATAATGAGTTGTCTACATGATCAAAACATTGAACACAAAATAGTTTTTTACCAGTTCATGAAGAAGTTAGTCAACTGTAATTTTAGAGATGAAAATGGTAATTCTATGATCCATAAAGCCTTGGAGCTTCAAGAGTATGGTTTCAGTGATGAATGTAGCGTGTTGAACAGTTCAGATAATACTGACATCATACAATTGTTGTTTCAGTATAATATAGATATAAATAGCACTTCTAATGAAGGGAATACAGCTCTTCATTCGTTTATGCATTTTATTAATAGATCAGAAATGAATAATGAAGATAGAGATATGATTAGACTGTTGGTGAAGCATGGCAGCCATCTTGATTCACAAAACAAGAGAGGAGAAACAGTTTTGGATTTGCTTCGAGTGGGAAAGCATGACTTGTATGATTTGAATTTATTACCCTTGCAGTGTAAGGCAGCTTCAGTGGTAGCAAAATATGGACTGTTGGTTGGGAATGAATACCCTGAGGCAATTGTTTCAATTGTCAAACAACATGAGACGCCATCTTAGTTGATTTAGTAGTGAAACAAATATGAACTGTTATATGGAAGAAAAACCCCAATTGTCAAACAAAATTAAACACCATCTTATTGGACATAGTAATGAAACATAAATGAACTGTTAGAAATGCTGCAAAACAATTGCTTCAATCGTTCAACAAAATGAGACACCACCTTAGTTTATGATACAATAATGGAGGACCAAGTGGAAATTCTTTTAGTTTTTGTTTTATTTTATATTAATATTTCACAAATGATTGTGGCAGTTAGCAGTGTAAAGTAAGAATAAAAAAAAAACAGTTTATATAGGGATTTTGAACTTTTAAAATATCAATATAATACTTAAAAACACTAAAATTACTTTATACAATTGATAATTCTAAATCACTTAAAATTTACTGGCCGATTAAAAGCTGTGATTGCAGAACAAATTTTAATGTAACATTATAACATAATTATAAAATCTGAGCTGATCTGAATTTTGACTGTTCTGTTACAGTTGTATGACCTCAATTCAAAAGTGCAAGTAGCATTGAGTTTTACTAATGTTTGTACATCTGTATGGCCAAATTTCCTAAAATTGACTCACTTTAAATAATAACTTAGGTTAGCCTCAACAAAGATATATGTAATTTGAAAAAATGCTAGAACTACTGATATCAAAATATATAGATGTGGTATGATTGCCAATGAGACAACTATCCACCAGAGTTATGTTATGATATGGGAGTAAAATTGAGAATGGAAATGGAGAATGTGTCAAAGAGACAACAACCCGACCATAGAGCAGACAACAACCACAGGTCACCTAACAGCTAACACAACAATAAGAAAAAACACATACAGCATAGTCAAACTGTGACATAGCGGGAGTGATTTTTATCATTCAGACTAAGTTAACTTGAAAACGAGTTCATGGACCCCTCTTTTTTAAAATGACATTAGGTTTGATTATGCATGAAGATTATTTGTACCAATTTTTATGAAAAAGTCACAGATGAATTTTTTTTAAATTAGAAAAGTATACAGCAAAAACTGCTGTTTTTTTCTAAAATCATGAAACTTTGATAAAAATTAATTACTTCCAAAGAATTGTTATACAAATTTAGCATTCTTGTTTAAAGAAGATTTTCCAAATGTTTTTACAAAATCCTCTTGTGTTTATCTTTTGAAACAAAAAAATTAGGTATGTCTATTCAAAGGATAGAAATGTAAAAAAAAAAACGAAATTTTGAGTAAATGTCTAAAATTTCGACCCCTTTTTTCTTTAAAAGTAGCACATGAAGGTATATTTTTATGCCCCCACCGTAACGGAGGGGGCATTAAGTTTTACCCTTGTCTGTCAGTATGTATGTACGTCCGTCCGTACCTACGTCCCAAAATTGGTTTCCGTTCTCTAACTTTAGTTTGCCTCAACCAAATGTTATGAAACTTATCCACAATGCTTATTACCACAAAAGTTTGAGTTTTGGTGGCATCACTTTAATCGTTCGAGAGTTATGCCCCTTTACAAATGGAAATTTTTCGTTTACGTTCTCCAACTTTAGTTTGCCTCAACTAAATGTTATGAAACTTATCCACAATGTTTATTACCACAAAACACAGATCAAGTTTGAATTTTGGTGGCGTCACTTTTACCGTTCTAGAGTTATGCCCCTTTACAAATGAAAAAATTGCTGATTTTTTTGTTTCCGTTCTCTAACTTGAGTTTGCCTCAACCAAATGTTATGAAACTTATCCACAATGTTAATTATCTCAAAACACAGATCGAGTTTGAATTTTGGTGGCATCACGTTTACCGTTCTAGAGTTATGCCCCTTTACGAATGAAAAAATTGCTGATTTTTTTTGTTTCCGTTTTCTAACTTGAGTTTGCCTCAACCAAATGTTATGAAACTTATCCACAATGTTTATTATCTCAAAACACAGATCAAGTTTGAATTTTGGTGGTGTCACTTTCTCCGTTCTAAAGTTATGCCCCTTTACAAATTGAAAAATTGCTGAAATATTAGTTTTTGTTCTCTAACTTTAGTGTGCCTCAACCAAATGTTATGAAACTTATGCACAATGCTATTATCACAATACACAGATCAAGTTTGAATTTTGTTGGCGTCATTTTTACTGTTCTAGAGTTATGCCCCTTTACACTCAAAATTGCTGAAATATTTGTTTCTGTTCTGTTACTTTAGTTTGCCTCAACCAAATGTTATGAAACTTATGCACAATGCTTATTACCACATAACACAGATAAAGATTGAATTTTGGTGGCATCACTTCTACTGTTCTAGAGTTATGCCCCTTTAAAAATGGAAACATTGCTGAATTTTTCATTCTGTTCTCTAATTTAACTTAACGTCAACGAAATGTCATGAAACTTATATACAATGCTTATTACCACAAAACTCAGATCAAGTACAAATTTGGGTAGTGTCACTTTTACAGTTCTTGAGTTATGGCCTTTTATTACGTTATATGCAAGAGGGGGCATCATCTGTGTCCCATGGACACATTCTCCATTTATTTATAACATATTTGAATTGACTAGGTGAAAATAAGCTTGTATGCAAATTTTCTTAAAAAAATCACTGTGGGATCAAAAATGTATCCTATGCCCTTAACCATCCCTCTTACCTGGGACAGATGTGTAACAGTACAACATAAGAACAGTTGCAAATGGCTCAACTCACTAGATCAGTAGAGTGCACTAAAAACAACCAACATAAAAACAATAGAACAAAAAACCAATATAAGAATACTGAAAGCTAGTTCAAAGCAAATAACAACTAATAAAATGAATAAGATATTAACATTGAAATTAACAGAAAAAATTATATGCAAGACAAGATCTACAAATTGTTCAGCGAAACCGAAATTGTCAGTAAACTTCTTAGTTGTTGCCCCTGAATGATGATTTTTACACAATTTTTTTTTATAGTTTTGGACAAAACAATAATAGATAGAGGAAATGTTAACAGAAAAAGGATAAGCACTACAAAAAAAAAATGAATTACATTCTAGTCTACAATGTTAGAAGGTTTCACATAAACTAAACATTATCAACATCAATGTAAATGAGGTCAAGGTCAGATGAACCCTGCCAGACATACATGCACACCTTACAATCATAACATACACCAAATATAGATACCCTATTGCTTATAGTACCTGAAATACAGACCTAATTTTGGAAAATTGAACTTGGGGTCAAGGTTAGATGAACCCTGCCAGACAACATGTACACCATGCAATCATTCATACATATAATATAGTTGAGCTATTTCTTAAACAACCTGAGAAACAGAAATAACCATGAAATCTTAGCAATGACCAATAAACCATGAAAATGAGTTCCAGGTCAGATGAACCCTAGCAGACCGACATGTACACCTTACAATCATTCCAAACACAAAACAATCATTCCATACACAAAATATAGATGACATATTGCAAATAGTATCCGATTAACAGACAAAAGTTAAACCATGAAAACTTAGCATGGACCAATTAACCATGAAAATGAGATCAAGGTCGGATTAAACCTAACAGATAGACATCACAGGGACTCGGTCAGCAGATTAAAATTTTGTTAAACAATGTTTTGCAAATTTTTGTTCGTATTTCCTGTCTATTTGTATTACATTATTAACGTTGGCATCAATATTTCTTTGTTGAAATACGAAAAAAAAATTGCAAAACATTGTTTAACAAAATTTTCACCTGCTAACAAAGTCTCTGTCAGTGATAGACATGTTCACCTTAAAATCACCTTATAGTACCTGACAAATAGACTAAATTAAAAAAAAATAACATTGACCAATGGACCATGAAAATGAAAGTCAAGGTGGTTACATACCATTATTCCGACAGCCCATTGGCCCGACAACCCATTAGTCCGACAACCTAATAATCCGACACTTAGAAATGATTATTGCGCGATATCAGGTTAAAAAATATGTCTGTCTGTATCATAACGTGTATGTTATTATATATGTACAGAAATAATTATGTTTATATCATGCAGTTATTTCGAATTCTGTATATATGTTATTAAAATTTGAGAAAAGAAGTATATTATTCATTTATGTATTTTCGTGCCTTTTCGTGTATGTACAGAAATCGTGTAATATTACAGAATTAAAAAAACGTATATACAGAACTATTTCCGTATGTATAGACTTCGAATTCCGTATATACGGAATTATCATTACGTACAATTCTGTACATGCGCTAATACAGAATATCAATTACGTAGATACAAAATTTTAATTACGTATATATATGTATGTAGTGACAACTGTAAATTATACCTTGTCCATCGAATTTCTTAGGATTAAGAAATACCAGGGGAGGAAGTAAAGAATTAGATCTACTCTAACATTGTTAGGTTGATATTCTAGGCACTTTATATATATATTATATATATGCAGAATTCGAATTACGTTATACACGAAAGTATTTATACAAATTCTCGTCAAACTATTTTCAACAAATTAGGCGGGGTCAGAATATGATTGGTTTTATAAAATGCAGAATATTTTCTGTCGATTAGAAATTGTGCGGCTCCAATACGATCATATCCGATCCGCCATCGGATTATATGGGCGACTTTGCGTCTCATTTAAAAGGACCAACGACTTTAAAAAAGAAATTAAATTTGCTTAATAGTGACTTGGCAATTTTTTAACGCGATCTAAGGAGGATATTTTCCTGGCCCCGTATTGTGACCCATTAACATGCACTGTACATTTTGCAAGATATGTCAATAATAGAAGTATCTGTTATCTTCAATATTCGCATCTTGACATTGACTCTCTGCAACTCTCGTTTTTTTACATGACATTGACGCCAGTTTGATCCAAATTTAAAACAAAATCTATATAATAGTGTTATGTACAGTGAGTTTGCCTCAACAGTTTTCTTGAATTAACCCATGAATGTTAGTCAAGAAGTAGGGAAATCATTTGACAAAGACACACACGAACAAACAATAGACATTTTAACTAATTAAACTAACTTATATATAATTACTAGCATTTGATTTTGTTTTGTAATGATTGCTTTGACCAAAATATAAAAATGAAAAAGAACCTCATTGTGATACATACAGCCATGCATAAAGAATAATGACCAATGACTTTTCTGACCTTTGTGGTTGTGGAGGCTCTGCTTACATGTTTTCAGTAAAAGAACATATGATGAGTTCACGACAAATTACTCTGTTTCTCCAATTTTATTGTATAAGAAAAAATATAGGTACCTTTGCTACGGATCTCACATCCGCACATAAAGAGTCATTATTGGTGATGTACAATCGAACACAATTAATGTGACATCCGGTGTTCCCCCAAGGAACAGTTTTGGGTCCTATTCTGTCCCTTGTATATAAAAATGATTTCAGTGAATACATCAAACACAGCACCCTACAATTATTTGCAGATGACAGCATATTAAACAAAACAATATTAAACAGAGTAGACACA